AAATTTAAAATATCCAGGAAGTAACTGTTTAGAATAGAAAACTTGCCAAAGACAGGTAAGTTTTTGTTTTGGTGTGAATGGTCTGTCTAATGCTCAATAGCCCAACAAATGCATTTACAAAAATGAGAAATGAAGACAGTAGACACACGGGGTGGTCGTATAAAAGAATACTGCCCAATACAGATGGTTTATGATGAATTATGTATACACACCTTTCCGTGCTTATAATCGTATAGCATAAATTCAAAGAGCTCATTGTAGAGCAAATTAAAGACTTGAAAAAACACAGAAGCATTAACCTACATAAGCAGCTAAAACCAACACTGATTACTCCAGAGTATTACGAATTTATTCTACTTTTCTGCACAGTAACTGATTTCTATTACTGCACAGCATCTCCGATTGGACATCTTACAAAACAGATCACTCAGGATAGATATACTGTGTTGCAAACCCTTTGATAGCTATGTATTTGGAACAATGCATTTATTTGTCCCATAATTAGTCACTTATGAAAATAAATTCAAAAGATAATTTCCATTTTAAAATATCAAAACATTATTAAACGTAAAAGGATAGCAGTCATTAAGTTTACAGACATGATACTACGCTTTTATTTTTTCATTGTACCTATTTTTAAACACTTTTTTACTGAAAACATGTTCACACGAAATAGGATTAGAGGCTCTCCTCATCATTGTTTCTACTACTGATTTTTTTTTTGCTGTTTTGTACTGTTGAAATGTTACTATTGATTTATTTGTAGATGTGTGCCACAATAGTTTAATCTCCAGACTTTCCACAAACATTTCTTCCATTCATGTCAATGCAAGCTATGCGCAGCATTGAAAAACAGTAATAAATGACATTGCTACTGTGAATAAGAAAGAATTCTCCATTAAATTCCTGATATATAAGTTGATATTAGTTGATGGCATTGTGAACAATCAATAATTAGTGTGTGTTTTCTATTACACCTTGAAACTGCTCTGCTGTACATAACTAAATTGAGCTGCTGCTCACCCTCGAAGTAGAGCTTCAATTTAACTTGTACTTACATCAATCTGTGCAGGCTATTTGTTTTTAAAATGAGGTTATCAATGAATACTTGCAGTTCTAAGAAATCACATGTTTCCAATTTGTAATTATTCACTTCATCCTCCCCTCCAATTCACTTGCTGAAACTGCTCACCTGCACCCACTAACATGAAGTCACCTAGGTCTGTCCCCATGTAGTCAACACAACCTCACATATGAATATAATGACACCAGTGAAGCTTGCACTTGCTGTACGAGCTTTTGCACTAATTTCAACAAAAGGAATTTATGTTCTAAAAACCCCATGAAAGAGAATGTAAAATGGCTTGATGAAAGCACACATCCCCACATTCGTAACTTGTGCACTAAGTCAGACTGCATTATACCTATACATATTGGTCACATGCCAGTACTCCAATTATAATATCTCTTTTTATCTATGAAATGTCATCAGATCTCTTGATTGACTTGAGGGAAAGCTCAAGCTATTTGGACCAGCACCACCAGAAGTCAGAGGAAGTCTGCATTTCTCTGCAGAGGGACACTTCATGCTCCATATGACGTGAGGGCTTTCTGGAAGTGTCCCTGAAACTGCAGCTGTACCTGTAACTGTGGGAAGCAGTATCACCAGCCTAGAGGCAGTGATTCATTGCTTCTCCTTTCCATTGCCAAGAAAGCGGTACCAGACCCAGCGAAAACGACAGACTTCCCAGTAACAGCCATGTACTTGCCTACAAATCCATTAGCTCAACTTCATCGTGTCCCTTATTTTATATACTACCTGGATACAAGTTTCCTGAAGCAGAGGACTCTCTCACGTAAGCTCTTTCTACTCATTCTGCACCTTTGGAACCACCGCAAACTTTTAAAGCAGAAACAGCAGTTAAACTGATTCAACTGCACAGCTCACAGGCCAATTAACCATTTTACAGTGGTACTTTGTACATAGCTGCCTGCTTCATCCCAGCAGCCAACCATGCTCATAACCACGAGTCTTGGCATTCCAGTAAAGGGAAACTAAGGCAGAGTTCAGGTATCAGGTACACAAACCAAATAAAACACCAATAAAATCTGTGTGACCTTACATTCAGTTTAAGATAAGTTACTTATAAATCATAAGTAGGATGAATCTTTTAACATTACAGTCACCTTAAGGAAAAATTGGAATTTCATTGCAAGTCCAAAAAAACATACCTTTAAGATCTTCCTACTCTATGTTACAAATTGGACAACAACCCTATGAGATTAAGACATTATTACAGGGATTAAGACTTCAATTATACATTTGTATACTCTAGATCCAAATTATCAAGTATAAAAGTGCTCATTTGTAAATTTAGTAGTTCTATTTGTTTTACATCAATAGATGTTCCATTTTGCGTGTCACTCCTGAGTCTTTTGCTTGATACATAAGCCTTTTGCCAGCAAGCAGAATATTAATTGTGAAAGAAAACTTACAAATGCAAATGTGAAAAATGTATCAGGTAAAGCATTTAGCAAATTTAGCATAATCTCCACAAAGATTAAATATTCTATCATGTATTTTACTGGTCAACCTAAATTACAAGGCTGTTTTTATCAGTTGATATATACTCATTATCAAATAGATGCCATTTTATAATGTTTCTCATTTTTTGTTAAAAAGTGTGAGAATAATTTTAACATTAGATTTAAGAGTCCTGCTAACATCAGGACTGTGTGCCACTGAATACGTGTCTTCATAAACATTGGGACACACTGAATCATTATAAGATGATTAAGGTTGCTAATCACATATTTCTCATGCTCCAGATAAGCTCAGCATCATATAGTTAAGCATGATCACTAAACCTGCTCACATACTTTCAACACATTGAGATAATCAGCTATATGATCCCTATCATAAAAGCTGAAGCATACGGAGCTAGATTAACAATTTAAAGGTGACAAACAAAAGAAATTTTCAGCAGCACATTAGGCTATTTCTGATTTTGCTTGCATTTAGCAAATACTGTAGTTTAAAAAACAAAAACATAGACAACACTAAAGATATTATTTCCACAAAATATGTTCAAAAGCCTCACCACTCTTGTAATATGACTAAATGCAAAGTATTAAAAAAAACTCATAGTAACAATTTACTGGAAATAGCTTATTTTCTGATAGCCTTAAGCATATTTGATGATGCATCCAATGAGAGAAAAAGCTTAAGCTCTTCCGTGAAAATTAATCTTAAAACAGGAGCATACACTGCACGGGTTCAATACAATCAGGTTTGCTCCTTAAGCCCTAGACTTTCTGAGAACAATAGTGACCAGGCATAGATTGTGCCTCTTGTATTGCTTTGGCTCCACTGTTTATCAATGCAATTCTCAGCACCAACCAAAAGAAGACATTTAAAGAACCTGAAAATACCTATTTTTATTGCTTGTTTTATATAGCATGTTCAACAACAGTTGAAGCAAAAGCCTACCTGCAAAAAAAATAATAAACTTTAAAAGTACTAATACTGTAGCTATTAAGCTGGAATACTATTGGAAAGTAACAGCAATAATTTTTCAGATACAGAAGTCATCTACACAATCACTTGTGCATTTAAAAGCAACTCTCTCTCATTTTGAAAGAGCTGCTTCTTTAAAGGCAGAAGCAATTTAGTACCCTATGTTTAGTTTTATTTCACAGAAGGAAAAAAGCCACCTGTATATGCTAACACAGAACTCCAGCAACAAAAGGTGAACAAAAGCTCCACCAATATTTGGCAAGACAAAGGCATAATGTTTTCACGTGTATTAAAATACTCACTTATGTAAAGCTACATTACATGGACAAACTGAGTAACTACGTAAACATTCAGATAGGAATGATTTATATGCATCTTTTAAGCTTTTATTTTAACTCTTAAAAATCATAAAGACATTCAGTTTATATTAATGCTAAGACTTTATAGGATAAATCAAGACCAAAGCAAGATGATTTTTTTTATATAAGAACCAACACAGACAAAAGTGCACTACAATAGAGCAGGTGATTCCACATTCAATTTCCAAGTGTAATAATCAAGAGAAGGAAATGTTAGCATATATACTACAAATAAAGCCTGCCTCAAACTTCCCAATTCAAGATCAGCTCTACAAATTAACATCAACATGAACTTTTCAAATGAACATTTACAATATTATGAATATGGCTTAATCTGCACAATTTCTCTACATTTCAACAAAGAGGGAAAGACTCGACACAACATCCATCATGAAACATCCAGGATAAAATCTAGAGGGTCTACATATAAAACGAGGTAAGATTCTGGGTCCCAATGTCATTTAATATATAACAGGGTATTTTGCCACAGGGTAGTCTCACGAAAGAAATCCCACCTTATTATCCTCATTTCTCTCACTTACATGTATGCTGGAGAAAGTGGCGATGACCTGGATGTTTTAAGCACAGGAACTGGGAATTTCCAGATAGCAGGAGAGCTCGTTTTCCATTTCAATGGCATGTTGTCACCACGGTACTACAATAACAGTAAACAGCGTTTCCATAACAGACTACCAACTAGGACTTCCATTCCACACACTACTGACACAGCAGTGGCTGCTGCTAAGAACAAGGAAATGATTCTGCCAATGCCCTTAAACCGATGCTTCCAATCTGTAAAACAGGGCTGCAAGGCATCTCCTTTTAAATCCTGCTGTCCCCTAAAGCAATATGATGATTCTATCGTTCTAACTCAACAATAGTGCCACCTCGTTAGGGAAGCGCTGACTGCAGTATATGTTTAAAAAAAAAGACTGCACTGTGCACACCAGCACAATGCAGCTTTATTTAATAAAAGCAGCTAATTTTTAAAGAACTATTTCTGATGCTATTGTTCTACCTTAACAGGGACACTGCAGCACTGTACTATATTCTCTTCCTATTAGCCTCGTTTCTGACCAATGAAAGCAGAAAAATGGGTTTCATATAAAAATGAAACAACATACCTACTCAGAATACACTTGTCATCCTCTGAACATTCTTCTTTTGAGCTGCAACAATACAAATGGGATATAAATCTCAGCATAGCCTTAGGCCACGGCTAATAGAGATCAGTGACTAAATTCAGCAGCCTGTTTTCCTCCTGTGCAAGCTCTGACCAAACAATACAAGAATGCCATTATGGAAAAAGCCCATTGCAAAAATCAGTCCTTCTAATCCATAGCTAGGAAGACAAAATAAAGCATAAATCGCTGCAGGTTTCTGCATGCTCTTCTAATAGCTTCTTGTTCAGGATGCTCTCATTTTCCTATTCTCATTTCCAAGGAGGATGAGCAAAATCTCATGCATTTTACAACATGCTATGGGAACACAAACATCACTCTGTCTTCTGCAGTAGAGAAGCAGAGAGTAGCATGCTGTTAATAGCAGTCCTTGTAGGGACGCTATCAACAATCTAATCCCCCCACCCCCCCCCCACCCCAGCAGCTCACAAATTGCCTGAAGAACTGACGAAGCAGACGGTCACGCAGGTGTCCATCAGGGACCACTCTGCAACTCTGCGCTCAGTTTGGTGACCTCCCAGGGCTAATGACAGAGGGGAGTTTTAGAAGGCAAGAGATTAAAAATGGAATGGAGGATTTAATAGCACATTGTGCATAAACGGATCAGGTTTCTAGGAAAAATATGAAAGCTTCAACTATATTAACTCCCTCATATTAAAAAAAAATCACATTGCCACTGTAGACAGAATCAACACCGTTCAAGATATTTATTTTAAAATCTGTAGAATAAGTCTTTGTATATCATGACATTTTTTCTGTTCATCAGGACAGCTTAATCCTATCACAAAAAAGCCAACACCCTGTTACACTACTTGGCAATAAATAATGGAACAAAGAGCAGGATTTTTATATTTATTTTAAAGCATTTTAAGAATATTTAGTAACACAGTGATAGATTTTTCGTAAGTAAACCCTACATTAAGTTTATTTTGGGGATGAAATCACTGCGCAATAATTGCTGTTTCTGATCATTATTATTGAAGATGTTTCCCCAAAATAGTTTTGTGCATTTAAAGCTGTTACCATAACCACAGGCAACGAACTAAAACAATCCAGGAAGGTCATAACCCAGGACTAATTCAAAACTAGGTCTCCCAGGTCTTTACAGAAGTTCTTAATTACATATTAACAGCATTAATACTAGCAAAAATTTCAGTGAAACCGTTACTCAAAGAATGACGAACAGACATTTGCTGTATAGGACAAGTATGTATATGCTATAAATATTAAGTAACGCTAGCCCTGCAAAGAGCAAGTATGCATTTTAATCATTCAGGAATCTACTTTTGGTAGAATTTATGTATTTACATGCCAACAGCCACGCTTGTCTGCATGCATTATAAATAATGTGTGCAGTCTCATACACACATGTAATACCAGACTACTAGATCATGCTTTCTTTGCATTGAAGGTCTAAAAATTAATTGGAAAGACGTTAAATAGCAGGTCTTACAACCACACGAAAAAAAAACTCAATTTTGAATTCATAAAATTTTGCTTTTGCATTTACCACCACACAGAAACCATCTTATACCTAATCATTATAACAATTAAAATATTATAAATAGTTATAACTGTCTTATAACTAAGGAAATGATGTTACTCTCCTTCTTCATACTGAGTGGACAGTCAGTGCCACCAACTACTAAACATTTTTAAAAGTCTGCATCTGCCTGCTCTACCAAGTCCAAGGATTTGATTGCGTATTTTAATTATATATTAGTAATGCTGCTGTTATAAGAAAATGCCAAGGACAATCAATACATCACCTTTGCAAAAGTAACTCCTCAAATACCATGTATATCTGTCATTTATCGAGTAAAATCCAACTTAAGCAATATAGTCATTCCCACACATTGACTAGCATTTAAATCAACCAATGGACATCCAGAAAGCAGCTACTTCTCCATTCTGACATCAACAAGATTATTTGGGATACAAGGCAATGTTAGTGCTCAAATACCTACTTTCTTTTGTGTACTTCTGGTCCTGTTAAGTTTTCCATTTAGTTTACAAGCAATCTAATTAAAACCTCTAAATGAAAACCAGTAACAGTAAACTGAACATTTCTAAAACTGTATGAACCCAAGCACCACCCAACTTAATCATCTCCTACCATTCAGCACGCTACTTATCAAACAGTCAATGTAAAAAAAATTCAGAATTAAAAGTACCTATCAGTGCTAGGTACTCTAAAAATAGGCAAATGCTTTTCACTTACAAAGGAACCACAGGAGAAATGAGTCACCTATCCTCAAATAAGTAGAAAATATAAACAAACCGCCTTCTTCCTGATGGTCACAAAACAGGTAGACATTCCCTGGGAAACAATTATCTGAATATACGCTTTATATGAGCTCTTCCTAACATAACAGAAGGTCTTGTTATATTATTCTCCTATTTTAAGTCTTCAAAATAACACCATAGTACATATTTTAAGAAGTGGGGAAAAAAAATGACCCCTCTGGAGTACACCATGCCCACTTAATATACTATTTCCATTTTCATATTACATCTATATTGCTTTGTCACCCATCCCTAGATTGCAGAGGAAATAATTATTCCTAGAAAAATGCTATGAAAACACACCAAACTGGAGATCTGCTTTTCTTCAGTATTTACAAGTTTTAAGACTATGATAACTGCTCAGATTAAACAGCTTCTTGGGACCACTCCACTATTTGAGGGGTTTGATTTCTGTATTTTTTCCTCTCAAGCAAGATCACTTTCGAATTATAAATAGCAGAAACTTCTAAACTTGCTTAGTGATATATTTTACTTACATGTATCATCAGTCTCTTACTTGACTTTTATGCAGTATACGAAAAATGAGAAAAGTCTTTACTTTTTCAATTATTTCCATGTTACCATTTCTAAACCTGCACTGAGTAGACTGGCACCAAAGGAAGTAACTGACAAGGTACCAAGTACTTCTGCAGAAAACTCCTCCATAAAGTAACTAAACAGGTGGCATAAAAAGAACAAAGACCAAAGGCAAGATCCCAGGCTGCCAGTTCACAGACCTGAGCTGTTAAGAAGGCCAGAAACTATTGACTGAGGCTGTACAGCAATGCAGCTCTGAACCCACAAAAAGAACGTACATACACAGTGCTCAACAGAGCAAGACGTTTCTTATCCTTATCCTACACCCTCTGCCCTAAATCCTTCATTATTGAACAAGAAGCACGATTTGTCCCCAGATGAGAGGAGCAGACTGGGAGCACCATACCCATAACAGTATGAACAAGCCACACACAGAAGCACTCGCAAGTATGCTGATCACAGGTTAACAGCATCTTCTGCAAAGCTTTCCCAGACCTTCAAGGTAGGAATGTAGTTAAAAATGTTTCCCTGGTGATTCTCTTCCTTTTTCTTGCAATATCCTCCTCTTTCCTTTGTGCAACTTTAACACTAGGCTCCTATCACATTGTTTCACACATACACTTTTGCTGCCTTTTACAAAAAAGCATTTCATTACAAAATACAATTTCTCCTCTTACAGCACAGCAATGCTTACGTTTCTGGGGCATGTGCATTTCTAATAAAACTTTGAATCACCTCTAAATTTCCCTAAGACTTCCCTTTGTGTTTTTTCAGAGAAGAAAATGTCACAGGCAGAAAGATACATGTGAACACAGCAGCAACATAAGAGTACACTAGTCTGAAAATATTTATTCTTAGCCTTGGAACACCACCTGAATATGAGAACTAAGCAGGGTCAGTTAGCTTCTAGACATGCCACTGGATTTTCATCACTTTCAAGATTAACTTATTTTTCAGTCTTTAAACTGTAAAAAGAGCCAAAAATCAGTCAAGTGATTTGCTATGGTTAAGAGATTTGCTGTTCTGCTCTAACAAGCTGCTTACATCCCTGCTTTTATTCATCTACTGAGCATCTGATGAACTTAAAGCACTAGGTGAAAATAGGGTTCTCCTATATGGAAACTTTTTCAGTCTGGGAAACCCTTTCTAGTGGGACCTGAGAGCTACACATGTACTTCAACTCACTATCCACTATGTTGTATCAAAGACATTTAGACTTGTTTTGTGTTTTTTTTGTTTTGGTTTGGTTTTTGGTAGTGTTTTTTGTTTGTTTGTTTTTTCCCTACAGGTAAGGGGGAAAAAATCTCAGATAACAGATATAAATTACAGTATCATTCAGAAGCAAATGCACTGTAGAAATCAAGATGCGCACAGCTTCATAAATGGAACAGTTATTTTGATAGTATTTTTTAAGCATTTATTTTCTAATATTTTATTCTTGAGCTGACTGCTCAAAAATGATCATAAATTGTAAAGCACTTAATAAAAAGAGTGTGAAACTATTTTTGTAGCCAACCCCTCCTTCTGTCAAAACGCTACAAGCAATACAGCCTCCTGTCTGCTATAGTAATGTATGATGAGCTATTTCTAACACAGAATAAAAACCTAAATCTTAAGCATTAAGTTAAGCAGTTACAATTTTATTTAGGGCACACATCACATATGTTTAACAAAAAATACTTCAGTTTGCCATCTATCCACTCAGTGTTTTTTCCTACATGAGGAAAATACTGCAGTAACATTATGACAAATTTCAGATAAAATTATATGCATAAATACACATATACATGCTATGTGTGCATATATATATGGCATGTATATATTCTTTCAGTTTCAAGTATACTCTATGTATGCAGTCACAGAAATATATGAATGCATTCCAAAGTGTGCATTTCTGGCCATGAAACTAATTTGTATTTTACTCCACTTAAGGACATCCTGCATTTTCTTGTGTATATTCTCAAAAAGTGTTTTGCTCTAAAACTGAGACAAAATTTCTATCAGGAAGTCACTTCCAAGAGTCTAGATGCAATGTTAACTTGATGTCAAGCTACAGCTAATACTGCAAAAAAACAATCTCAGCTTTGTTTCCGCAACCTACCTCTTACATAAAAAGCATTAGGAAAAAATACATTCTTAAAACACTTAGTAGTAAGTAAAACCAAACTGAGTTAATGAAGGTTTGTAACTTTTGATTTAAGCCCATGTACTCTGT